TTCCAGAACCATCTACTTTTTGAAGGCAACAATATAAATACAAAACATTTGTTGCATTTTATCATTCTCTTAGTTCGCTTAGTGTTATGGGCTTGGCTGGAATTTTAGGCTAGAAATCAAAACAACCCCGTGAGAGGATGATGAAGTAATTTTCTACTAAAATGCAGATTTAGATTAAAGTCCAATCATTCATTACACAATGTCTCTTTTTTAGAGGAAAAAAACAGATATCTACACTTGGTAGTTCGGGTTCAAGTTTAAATTTAGCTATTATAGAAAATATATGTACTTACAAAAAAGAGAATATGTATACAATCACAAATACAGTTCTTCTCGAAAAATCAATTTTTTATTAATTTATAAATACAACCCAACAAACAATTAAAATATAATTGATAATAAGCAAGAACATAGAAGTCAGAACTACACCCTTATTTTTAATTCCAGATCCACAACTCTCCAATTTTTCAATTAACATTTTAGACTTATCACTATTAGAGTTCTCTAACCCAATCATCTGTTCCCTCTTTACAAATGCAATAATAAGAGTTTTACAGATGCTTTTCTTGTAATTAAACCTAATGAAAATTTTATTTACGATCCTAACTTTTGCATGTAGCGTTGCTGGAAGTATGAGTTTTGCATTCTACACTTATTTTGATTTCACAATTTTAGCTTTCTGATCTGTTAACTTGTTCCAAAGCAGCTTGGGAAATAGCATGGGTGGACATGAGGCATATGAAACTATAATTTAGTTAAAAGATGAAGAAACAATCTAAATAAGATTGGCAGGCCATATGTTGGATATACAAAGATGACTCTTTGTCAATTTTAAGGCATATGAGACTGATATTGTTATTGGCTAGGGTAAAATGGATGGCGTTATCATACTCAAGTGTGGGTACTTGAAATCTGTTGGGCCTATTTGTTAGTGTTCCAGTTGTCCAGCAATCCTTCCTTGACGATCTCAAAAAAGGAAATACGGTGGAAATAAACTAAAACCTTCCAAGGCAGTTGCCATAGGGCATATTGAACAAATTGTTTTCATATGGTGACCATGCATGCAGAGTATAGGGTTTGGGAAGAATAGTGAGAAATCAGGACACGCATTTGCTTATAAATTGAGCAGGAAAATATATTTGTAGCCAAAGAAAAAAATAATCATATGCTGATAATTGAGCAGTAGTTATTACTAAATCAGTATTAATTACCAGACCTCCTTATTCAGACCAAGACACCAAAGAACTTAAGGCTGATAATCACAACCACCTAACCGGCCCTGAAAATCTCATACTCTTGCACTGCATATCAAAATCGTAATTGAACCCTAATGTGGCATCAGAGACTATAAAGTACCACATATATAGGAAACTCAAAAAATAGGATCTGTTCATAATATACTACATTTGAATCTATAAGGTATAGGGAAAAAGAGGTCTGAATCTATAGGGTATAAGGGGAAAAATGCGAAAAAGTCATGGTGTATAGGATCTGTTCATAATATAATTGTGTATGTTATGATATTAGGAATGCAGTATCGCAATCTATGAATTTAACAAAAAATTTGGGATTACGATCGAAACAAAAAATTGGGAATAGGATCGGAAAAAATTGGGATCTCCGGAACAGAGATTAAAGAGCTGGCATCAATGTAAAATAAATTCCTCTCAATTCTTGAATAGTTGATGCATATGATTTTTGAAAATTACCTTGTCTAATAATTAGAGGTAGTGATTCGTGTCTGTGTTAAAAGAGGTTGGGACTTAGTCAATGCGTCAAACTGCATAATAGCGATATAAAAAATCTATAACACCACAAATCTACACCTTAACTCCCTAAGATCCTATCAACATTAATCACATAAACATATAAAACACGATGAGACTCTCCATGCAAATCACTTGGGTATTGGAAGCCTATGGATAATGGAATTTGCATTGGAAATAATAATTCGGAATAGAAGCAATTTAGTTAAGAGGTAACCTCATTCAGTCGCACTCTAACATCTTGCTGCCCATTCTTCCAAACTGAATGAAAATGATATAAAAATTAAATAACAACCCAGCTCTGCACTCTATTCAAATTATTACACTGATATTGAGATATAGTTTAGGCAGTGTATATGATGGATATGTATTGGGAACATGTAAATCAAGGCATTAAATTAACACTTTATTCTTTGAAAGGTCATAATAATTTAATCTAACGGGTGCATTACACGAGTTTAAATAACATATTTTGGAATTCAACGTCAAATAACTTCATATCCATTCCTTATCAGCTGGATTTACCAAATTCAATGACCAACACTCAGAAACACATAAAGAGCATATTAAAGCAAAAAAGACAAAGAGATCCAACATTTAAAAATTGAAGTTCAATTTGGAGAACCATCGAAGAAGTAAATAACTTTCATAATCCTCTCACTGTTAAATAGCATTATACATCTCATTGGGATGCCAAGAATGCTAACATAATTAACTCACTTAAAGAGATGTCTAGTCATTCAGTGTTTTGATTCAATGAGAACACTGACCATAAAAAGCCAAACTCACTTGATGTGAGGAAATGGTCTCTTGTAACCTACAAAAGCAAAATTCACAAATTCACCCATTACGTTATAGCCTAGAAAAACAAAATCCACAAATTCATCCACTTAATTCACAATTTTGACACAAAAGTGCACATTGGCTTGATTTTTTTTAACAATGCAATGAGAAGGAGAAGTCGAAGTCGAAGACATGGAACCTGGACATCGAACTCGATGATATGGTCAATTCACAACATTTGCACCGCCGAAGATATTTCTGGATCCACCCTCTAAAGGAAAACAAATCTGAATCTAGCAATTTAGGGGTGAGGATCGCCTTTATGATGTGGACCCTCTAGTATTTTTTCAAAAAATAATCGTTTGACCCCACATGTCAATTCAAAGATGTAAGTAGCAAGACTGATTTTTTAATATTGGGAGAGATGGAGAGTATATCATTACTCGGTAGCACTGAACTAAAATGAACCAAACCATTATTTCATCGTTGAATAAATTATATGTAAACTTTTTCTAAAAAAATATAAATAACATGTAAATTTGTAGAAAAAAATATTTAAGTCACATAATATTGGTGTACTATATGTACCCCTAACACGACTAATTTTTTAATATTGGGAGAGATGGAGAGTATATCATTACTTGGCACCACTATAGTAAAGTGAAGTGATTCATTTTTTCATTATATCATGATTCTAAATAAGTGGCCTATGAAGGGCTAATAACCACTCTCAACCATAGTTGTTACAGCGACTAGGCGAGGCTGGACGCTAGACCACCTTCCAGACGCCTAGGAGATTAGGCGCCCGCCTAGGCGTCCCTTGGGCGAGTGGGATATGTCAATATTGATAATTTTTTAGGTACTAATGTATACACGCATAGTATGAAATAAATAAATAAAATGATTAAATAGTACAGTGATACTAAAAAAAATAAGTACCAAAATGTTGATAATATATAAATAGGGAGTATAAAAAATTCAAAGAAGCAACTCTCAAGTCAGATACCAAACGACATGAAGGAAAAAAACCTTTAGGATTAGATTAGTACGAGTAATTAGAAATTGCAATATTCAGAATAGTTCCCAGTACAGTACCCCCACTACTCCATCTCCATAAATGAATTAAGGGCAGATACAGTACCCACAAAGTATTACGGAGTATTTCTTTTAATTTTTAGAGTTCCCAGTGTACAGTACCCCCACTACCCATTTATGTTTTCTAAAATAAATTTAGGCGCATAAACTACCCGACCCGACCCACAAAGTCTTGTTCCTTATACTTTTTAATGGGTCGTAACCCGCGAGTAGCCGACTTAATCTTTTAATTAATCCGACGAGAAGAAAATTCACTTCCTCGCCCGACCCGCATCGCATCTTCAAAGATCGAATCGTGCCTCAATTGGACGATTATACGATTCGAATCCACGTTTTTACCTTTGATTTCCGGATCTTTGCTGCGATTCAGATCTTTCCAGGTAACCTGCCGCGTTTTAATAGATGACAAGTCAAATTCTAGGCGGAAAAAGCTAGGCGACCAATTTGGCGTCCCCAATATCTCGCCCAGACGCCTAGGCGACGCCTTGATAACTATGCTCTCAAGTCTCAACTTTAGTCACAAGTGGGCATAGTATAATTAAAATATACTTATTTTATAGTATAAACAAAAAAAAACACAAATCCTGTTGGGAACGTACACCAATATGATACACACAAAAGAAAAACATCATCCAAGCTCTAATTACATAATGGTCGTAGTGTGTGTGTGTGTGTGTGTTTATATATGAATTATGTGGTGAATTATCAGACTTTGACTTACATGTTCATCCATGAACACCATCTCAATAGAATTCCTAGCCCTCGACATGTCAGGAGCAAAAGGAAGTTTTAATCTGCAAGAAGAAAAATATGCATAAGAAGGGATGTGGTGGGTTGCTCTTGAGGAGAATTCATATATAGGCAGAATATTATCATGGGAATCAAGGAATTGGCAATATAAGGCATGTAATTACACATATTATGATTCAAAACAAATTGCGAATCGGGATCCAAGAAGTTATCGAAAAAATTAGGGAAATAGATAATCTTTAAAAATTGGGGAAACAGACACTCCAAGAATTGTGATGATTTTTCCCCAGTTGAAAGTCCCAAAGTCACATCAGTCTATTACCAATGGGTTGACAAAACAGCATTTTATTAGCATCTTAAAATCCATGTGTTTATTATTCGTAATAAAAGTTTCACTAAAGCCAAATTTATATTCCATTATGTATGTAATCAAACCTGGACCAAGAAAAATGTCGAATTGGTTTCCTTGAATTGCGAGATGGTTTTCTCGTCGAAACAAATGTCAATAACATTATAGGAAGGAACGAACTCATTGAAGTGTGCACGCCTGACCACAACTTTTGAAAGATATGATAGTCTGTTAAAGACATCCGGTTGTATGTCTCCACCCGGCACACTCTGCGTGAACAATTCAATTAAGTATCAGTAAGTACACCAAAAGCAAGAAATAATATTATATTGAGCAATGTTATTTTTGCTCAACAAACATAAACTGTTGTGCCGTGGAGTTAAACAGAAACTGCCGTTCATTACCTGCAGCAATGTTATATTGAGCACTGCAGCAAATATAACATTGTTTCCGTTTATAAAATGCAGCAATGTAGAGATTGGAAGTGAGAATATAAAATATTCATATTGACAGTGCTCAACAAACATATAGACAGTGCTGAATATAACATTGTTTCCGTTCATAAACTGAAGCATAATATGTCTATATATCATTGCTTCTTAACTGTCTACCTGCCAACAAACTTTGTTCCTCCCATTAAATTTTACTATTTGTTTTTTTGAGATAAGTTAAACGAACTGAAACTACTTTGAAGTTTCAAGGTTCAATACACACGCCTCAAACTCCACACATAATACTCATCATAATAAAGATACATTCCTGATGTCAAGGCATAACATGGCACCAAAATTATGGATCCCATCACAAGTACTGAGAATGGAAGCTTGGTGGAAGCATTTTTCCTCAACGGTAGTATCAGAATGGTATGTGAGGGGGTGCTTCCACAGGTTAGACATGTGGTTTTAATTTTATTTTTATACACCTACACCAACCATCCGAGATTGGGATTTGAGTTATGCAATTTAGGGGATTTGGTTTGGAAAAAAGACGCTTTTAGGAGAGCCATCCAAGTATTCACAGCATCATGCACTCCGTGAAAAAGACAACATATACCAGTATACCACATTATCAATCCACCTTCATGATGACGTTGAAGCATTTGTGAGATTCAATGCAGGAAGACATAGCAGGAGCCCACCTCGCATACATTAGACTTATTTTATATAATATTTAGATTAGTTACACCAGTTCTCAGAATTAGGTATTCTTTTTACAGTTAGATTGGAACTCTGTTCTATCCTTAATGAATCAAGCGTGCGAGGCTTTATAAAGGTAAAGTCTAGTTCTCTTGTCACCAAATGGTTGGGGTAATATTCTCACTTCCATTTGCACACAAACTCAAATACATTAGAGCCTTCATTTAGGGTCTTACCAAGTCAGTAACAGACTCATCAATGAAGACAGACAATATCACCTAACATCAGCAAATAAACCATTCACGGATCAAATGAAGCGTGAGAGTTTGATGGCATAAAGTCCACAGAACTCGCATAGTCAATTGAATATGTTGGGCTTCATAAAGTTAAAGTCTTTTTATCATGTTCTTCCCCTTAAGGCAAAAGAAATTTTCTACATTAGGCTAGATCAGTAAACGATGGTAAGACTAAAATGATTTACCGTGAGTAGCAGGGTTCCAGCCATAATGGTCTCATTCTTTGACACTGGCCCCATCTTCTCCAATTTCTCCCTTGCAAGCTTAGGTGCATCTGGGGCTCTGGGCTACTCTTCACTGTTGGTGGATAGATGATATACATCAGCAATGGCAAAGATATCCCTTTGTTTAGCAGCATCTAATTCCTGAACAA